TGAATTTTTAGAGACATTCCTTTATAAGCATTAATTAGTTCATTCACAATATCTTTATAATTGTCCGCCTTCACATTGCCTAAAATATAGTAACTGATTTAAAACCATTCCAAGCTCGTAATTCAGTTTCATTTAGAGCACTGTCGAATACATCATCCTTCATGATTTTTCTTATTTGTGGACCCACAAATGAGCCCTCTTTAATTTTTGCCTCACTAAGTCTCGGAAATGTTTGTTTTAAATGAGAAACCCTCTTCCATTTCGATTCATAGCTTTCACAGAAATTTTCATCAGTCCCAACTTACTAAAAAGTGGAAGCAACACGTTTTTGGGATCAACTAGTGGTTCATGAGCAATGTTTTTGAGGCCTGGAGTTAATACCTGACGTAGTGGCCGCTCCTGTCCATAATGACGATCTCGCGCACGATTGTTCCATTCACAAAGAAAACAACAATATTTGGTATATCTCAGTTGCATTCCAAGAAGAAGGGCTATTACCTTTAAATCTGCACATATGGCCCATCCATATTCATTATAGCGGATATGCTCTAACAGAACTCGCATATTTTCATATGATTCCTTCATATGAACTGCGTGCGCTATAGGTACACACGGATATTTATTACCGTTGTGTACCAATGCCGCTTTAAAAATGAGCTTACAGGAATCAATGAACAGGCGCCAATCATTTGGATCATCTTTCTCTCCTAACGCGTCAAACAAATTGTTGACATCGGAGCAATATATCAACTCCCTTTCTTGACGGAAACAGTGTGTGAGGTCTTGTTGCCGTTTTCGGTAAAAAGTAGTGTTAACATCACCGTTTAGAAGATTCCATCCTTTGAATCTTGACGCTAAGAATTCTGGCTGGGATTTTGACAGATTTAATTCTCGAACTAAGTCATTAAGTTCGCCCTGTGTGATGCGGCGCTGTTGAACATCCTGGCAGGTCAAACGAAGGATCGGAAATTTGTACGCTTTCTGTGGAACTGGGACAGAAAGTTCATCACTAAGCTTAACGGGCCGCAAATCTGATGGTAAATTAAATTTTTAACAGATTGTTTCCATTTTGGTCCAATACCTGAAATATTTGTGAGGCAAAAATAGCAATCAGTAATATGGTCTCTCGGTTCTCTCCAAACCATTGGTACCTCAAAGGGCATTTTACGATTGTTGCCTCTTGACCAACCTGTTAACAACGTTACACAAGTCCTACAACATATATGAGGGGCCCATAGCTTATCTTGGTCGCCAACTTTAATTCCAAAATAAAGTTGGTATGCTTTCAACACAAGGGGAGTAAAAGTACGTTTTCGAGATTTAAAAGTTAGCTCTCCCCACACATAACAAAAACTGTTCGCCCTATTTACCCAATTTCTAGGCATTGTCCATAAAGCTAGTCTCGATTACAATAAACTAAACGCACCGTTTTAACAAAAATTAACAGTACTCAGAACATCTCAGTAGTCTTCAACAACAAAAACGTAACTGACTCGGCTGCTATTAGTCTACTAATAAATGCAATATGCTCTCTAAGCATAGAGCTCCCATATAATAAACAGGAATAGACAGGTCTTGACATTATATATGTGCGTCATCGTATAAACGCCGAGAAATGCAGCAATATGAGATGTTACGTATTATAATTCATAAAAGAAGGTGTAACCGAATATCTGTGGCTGATAGAAAAATTCTGTTTTTGATTTTGGGTCTCAAAATACATAAGATACACCCAAAAATTGTCACGTCACAAAACCTGTATTTATCAGTGTTATCAATATAGCCCTGAGTATTAAAGCTTCACCCCTCACTCTTCCCACAAAAGGTAGGTATACACCCCTGTTAGAAATTGCGCACCAGACAAGGATTTTATCATCTTAAATAATGATTTTTCCATTGGCATAGTGTACCCGCTTCAGTTGACGATGGCATCTTGGTATAAGAAGGAGTTGAGCTTGAGAGTATGTGAAGCACTTAAGTCTGTTTCGATATTCAAGACCATTCCTCCTCAATTCCGATATCGCGCTGTATTGACGAACCAGTTTCCTTGTTGACATTCCAGCCTGATTTTTTGCTCTTCTCACCAATCTCTTTGACTTCTGTCTGCAGTAAATGCACATGGTCTTCCACTTTTTGGGATATTTAGACGTGGTATTCCCTGCTCGCACTCCGCTATTATTCGATAAATGGTTCTGCGTGAACCAACTTGTAGATATGTTTTCTTATTTCTAATTTATATGACATCTTAAAGTGAAAACTTCAAAATAAATAAATGTTAACTGACAGTAAAATAAGTAAACAAACTTTTTTCCAAAGGCAACTTGATAATATTTTGTGTTTTTAAATTAAAGCCAATAAATTGTGTGCCCAAACTTTTAGGACATACGTCATAATGCGTATTCAATGTGAATACAATGTAAACAGCACGTATATAATGTATAGAATGGTGCAGATAATGTACGTATATAATGACATAAGTGGGGTTAAGTTTACTCGCAAACGCCAAAACATTAGTTAACCAGCAACTATAAAAATAATGTGATAGAGCGCGCTAAAAATAAAAAAAAACTGAATACTAGAGCTCATTCTGTTCTAAGATGAAACGAAATATACTAAGTGACATATAAATCCGAACACCCAGTTTAAATGGTTTTATTTTAATAAAAGTTGGTGAATGTATTTATCTTACTGTAAATAACAAGTGAACAAATTTTCAGCCTTATCAGTTGGACATTCCGGTTTTTATACTGCTTATTTTAATTCACTAACGCTCTAAAAATGAATATTTCAGCCGCAGTAAAGAATCAACGTTGGCGGATTTTGGTTCTTGACATCCTTTACGATCGGTTACAATGCCTAGAGTACGGAGACGTGTACGATTTCGTCAACTTGGTGAGTTTGATAGGGGCCGTATAGTGGGACTTCGGGAAGTTAGACTTTCTTTTCGGGCAATTGCAGTTAGAGTGCAAAGAAGTGTAGACACTGTGGTTAGGTGTTGTAAGGCATGGCTTCGAGAAGGCCGTACGCAAAGAGCAAGGGGCACTGGACGCCGCCGTAGAACAACAGACCGTGAAGATCGCCGCCTAAGATTATTGGCCTTAAGGGACCGTTTCTCCACTACCAGGTCCATTGCAAATGAATGGTTTGCAGAACATGGAAGACCTATTGGCATGCAAAGTGTTTACCGGCTTGTTTTCATACCGGCCACACTGGGTCCTCCCTTTAACTCGAGAACACCGACGTAATCGCCTTGAGTGGTGCAGACAACGGTCACTTTGGGATCAGGAATGGAACAGTATTGTCTTTAGTGACGAGTCTCGATTTTGTTTAGGCATGCACGATGCTCGTGCCAGGGTTAGAAGGCGACGTGGTGAAAGGAGGAATCCACAGTTTTTTGTTGAAAGACATGTTCATCACACTGTTGGAGTTATGGTTTGGGGTGCTATAGCTTATGGTTCCAGGTCACCTTTAATCTTCATGAGAGGTAACATGAACGCGCAGCGTTATATCCACGAAGTTCTAGAACCCCATCTTTTACCCTATCTTGACACCCTGGCAGAGCCAACTTTCCAACAAGATAATGCCCGACCACATGTTGCAAGAGTCACAATAGACTTCTTTCAACATAATGATGTCACATTGTTACCATGGCCACCAAGATCTCCCGACGTATCCCCAATTGAGCACGTGTGGGATATGATGGGTAGGAGATTGCTCAATTTGCAACTTCCTCCTCAGACTCTAGAAGCACTTCGAGAGGAGTTGGTGGTTGCCTGGAATGAGATACCACAGGAGGACATTGACCACCTGATCAGAAGCATGCCTAGGCGCGTTGGAGAATGCGTAGCACATCAAAGTGCATCCACACATTATTAAAGGTCAAAGGGCTTTAAAGCAGTGCAATCATTTTGAAATTTGTATCATTTACTTATTATGCTTCATTAAGTACTTATACAAAATTTTATTAAAATAAAACCATTTAAACTGGGTGTTCGGATTTATATGTCACTTAGTATATTTCGTCAAGTGATATTTTTTCAAAACAACTACATGTTGCTTGAAATCGCACAGGTAAGTTAACTTTTGTAGTACCATAGTATGAGCTTATCGGCACGCAACACGCTATTTTACTTCCTTAATAGATGAACATATCAAATCAGAAAGTACAGTAAGAAGTAGCATGTGTATCACTCCTTACCAATGGCGGTTAACGGTTTTTCCAATATGAATGTAGACGATGCTGACGACGCTGAATCAAATCAGTCAAATAAATGGATTTTGTTTCCTGAAGGTAGTTTATTTTCGAAATGTTCCCAATTCATGTGCAATTGCAACTTTGTATATATACATAATAAAATGTCTATATTTATACATTTTTTATCTTTATGTATTATTATTTTCATTCATCTCAGATTATGAACGTTGACATTTGACTAGATTTGCAAGATCATCTAACCGTACAAGTACGAAATATTGCCCCTAGACAAAAGCTTTAAAAAGTGTCCCATAAGGATTCTGCAGGCAATTTCAGTTAACACATTTTTTGACATTTCATAGAATTTACATCACGGGAGGTTGCCGTGTTACTATATATACTCTAATAATACTCAAAATAAATTTTTGTTATAATTGACTAATATGGACTTATAGCTGCCCCTTAACACTTAACTTGGTGAGTATACAACACATTCGCCCTTCACAGATCAATCTGATTTTGGCAAACACACAGCTCCCACATGAAATTATGGAGAAAGTATCACTCGACGAGCGTCTCTTCTCTTTCTTCTTTCATTGTCTTTCCTATAGGTGGTATATTGCTTTAGTCTCAGCTTTTTCAGTGTTTGATAACCCATACCATATATGACTTCTAGAAACTTTATTGTTAATTTGCAGAACTTACATAGGTTTTATTATAAAAGAAATGGCTAAATGGTCACCATTTGATTTTCATAGAACTGATGTAATAATAGGTAGTAACTCAATTACGAGTTTTTTTTAAGGATGTGGAATTCAACAAGCACCGAATAGTATCAAGATTTGGTCTGATGCATATGATAGCTACCAATCTCTGCGAATGGTTGTATGTTCTTGTGGAAGAAACTAAACATGAAATAATACATCTAGGAGGTACTGTTAATGTTATAGCTAATATTTGAGATAATTAGAAGATTAATACCTTACTTTTGACTCTTCCATTTCAGAACATCAAAACTCCACCAATTCTTCTTTGAATCAAAAGTATTGTCAAGAAGGTCATGTAATGGGCTGTTTAGTGACAAATGCTAGTCCATTTTTATTTCCCTGTACCATAGAGTACAGTCTGATTTGTGCAGTAATTCTATTTGAAATATGGAAGAAAATAAAAATAGGAGACAATGCCCAGGAGTACGGGAAGGAAAGAGTATCTTTCAAAGATGTTGGCCAAACTAAAAATAAGCACGATCGTATGACCACACACTTTCACTTTAGTAAGTTTTAATTGAATTCAAATATACCTACATACAGTATACAGGGTGTCCGCAAAGTTGGGGTTTTCCTTTACACGACGCGTAGATCTTGAAAACATAAGCAATTTTTCTTAGTACCATATACACCAATGTCTTAAGGGAACCGAGATAAAGGGCTCTGCAGCATCAAAAATATCTGAATAGCGTCCTGTAGCCGCGACCCGGGACATCACCTATTGGTACAAGGTCTCAAGCCGACGGCAGAACTGGGTCGGGGTCAATGTGTCAGGTCAGTATGCAACCTTCAACTGACGGTTACGGTCACGCATGTAGAGGTAATCGCGTAGACGAGAGTCCCTCAACAAGCACTAGAGACGTGGCTAGAGAAGTGCAAGTATCAAAAACTAAAGTGTGGCAAACGCTGCGTGAAGAGGGGCTGTATCCGTTTCACGTCCAACGTGTACAAGCCCTTCAACCTGACGATTTTCCAGCAAGACTGCCGTTTTGTGAGTGGTTGTTGCATCAACATGACAATAATCCGGACTTTTTGAAGTGCATATTGGTGACAGACGAATCTACGTTCACGCGTAATGGGGTGAATAACTTTCGCAACACTCATGTTTGGTCATTACGCAACATTTTGGCTTCCTTGTTTGCCTGCGTCTGCTCGGTAGCGCATCAGCTGATTTAATTTTCTGTTGGAGCGGTATGATTTCGGACAGAGACGTACTTAGCCCTTCTCGTCAACTGGAGAGTGAGTACTTTTTCTTTTATTTTTTTTTACTTGGTCGCCCTCGTTTCACTACACATTACCTTTGTTATTTCAAGGGTAGTTGTTTCTGAAAAGGAAAACCCCAACTTTGCGGACACCCTGTATTGCCAGTAATAATACGCAGTTCAAAAGTCACACAATAAAAATATGATATAGAAATATAAATTTAACATTTCGCGTGTTCTGCTCCGCTGAGCGAATGTGCATTTAGGCCCGTATCGTCAGTCGACCCTACAATTGTAGGGCGCGTTTATGGCCTCCTTGATTGTCATACTCCTTTCTCTCCTTCAAAAATTTCTAGATTACACTTGTCCCGTGTCAGCGTCAGCGCTGTCCTATTGTGAAGATTTGTTTTACTTTTAAATTGTAGAAAATTTCAGGTTGATAAAACGTGATATAACTCAAAACCAAGCACAATTTGATGCAAATTGATGTTTGTGACATAACCTCAAAATAGAGCACTGACACGGAGAAGTAGAAAACTATGACAATCAAGGAGGCCATAAAGGCGCCCTACAATTGTAGGGATGACTGACGATACGGGCCTTAGTATACAAATTCACATTTCATAACGAACTACGAAGGTTACTCTAATTTGAGGAAAAATGGGGGAGTTGTGTTCGCACCAGTCTGTCCTGCCCCAGAGTCGTCTCTTTGAAATCAGACCTGAAGGACATTCTTTCCTTTAAGATCAATTCCAAACCGTTACCACATTTTTTTTTGCTTCTTTCGTTCACCTTCAGAATATTACTGGACGACCTGCTTTACTACAGCGCCGTCAAGGTTGACTTCTTGAGCAGCAACCGCCTCTCTTCAAAGATAGTTCTCCTCAGCGACATCAATGGATAATACAAGACGGATCCAGTGGCTCCTCCCGTTGCCTTTTGGATCTCTTTCTGATAACATATCCTATCACAGGCACTTGGACCACACTTTTGTAGATATCCAGTTTCAATCAAAACCGGCTGTGGCAACGTAGTCTCGCACAGGCCGTAAAATTCGCCATTACAGGCATGTTGACTGGGAAGGGCTCATTTGGACAGATGTTTGTTTTGCTGACTCGGATGCATTTACTGGCTGTTTATCAGTAACTGAAGTTATTCATGTTGTGGAGTACAAGCCTCATACAGGGACCTCGGTTGGCCGCGTGGGTCAGAGTGTCGTGCTACTGATCAGCCGGCCGGCCGGGCCGCGAGTTCGAATCTCGCCTTTGCCATGGATGTTGTGACGTCGTGTGTTTGTCCATAATTAGAAATGTAAATATAACAACCTAGTTTCTGGCTGCATGGACTGGTCCTAAAGCAAAAAAAAGCCTCATACAGTGAACGTGCTTAAACCAGGATCTAAATACTGCTTCAACAAATCGTGTGGCACAGCTCGTTGTCAGAAGATCAAAGCATATAGACGATAGATCCCACTGTCGAGAATAGTGAATCCGATGTCAAATCTAGAAACAAATGTGATGAAGGTGTTCTCAAAAAGTAGCCTTCCACTGCTTATATGCCAGAACGCAACTAATTCCAAGACTCCAACTCCAGATACTTGCCAATATCTTTGCTACTAAATTGTCCATTGTCAGAGTGACGTCTAATCCAAGAGTTCCCTACGTTATGCGGGAAACAAACATTAGTCTTGTCGATCGAGATCAACATAGCTCCTGTGCTACTGAAGAGATGTACAGCGAAGCTTGCTTCAGATCTTTCGCTTCTCTTCCAGGTATCTTACGACTCCAGAGGATGTTCAGCCGTCCCAAAAAAATCTGAGATCTACCTATCTCTGCTTTCTGTGACAGGCAAGGTGGTGGAAAATTGTCTTTCGGAGATTCTGGAATACTCGTATCTCCAGCATCCCGATTTGATTAGCGTCAAGCAGTATGGTTCTCCTTTTGATCCTACAGTCAGTCACAACAGGGGTATCGGTCTTGGCTCAAACACTGTTCATATGTAATATCTATGACCTCATATACTGTATGATAAATCCGACTCACAGCTTTGATAATGACAGCAACTCACTGGTAGGCATTTCAAGTGCTAAACCGAGCTCTGCCGATGAGTTGGATAGAAGAAGAATAGTGGCGACTTCAACTCTTATGAGAGTTCTTGAGGTTACCACTACTTTTGGACTCAAGAATCTGGTAGAGTTTAAGGCTATCAAAGCTCGGTACTGTACTGTGACTAATAAAAGAAGACCTAGCGTACAGAGTGGTCGGCTATAAATTGACCTCTCTCTTCGCGTATACTGGATACAACAACCTCCGGAACAAGCATTTGCCACGGCCCCGCTCAGTAGGTTAGTAGGCTAATTTACTAATTCCGCACCACACAGTCAATTTTTCACTATAGTAGGGTCGTTGGTGTAGCTCTCGTGGATTTTCGGCCGCAGTTCTGCTTGTTTACATATCCCGTTAAATGGGAGGGTGCTTCGTCACTCATCATTATGACGACGTTAGGATCATCAGCACAAATGGTCAGCATTCTCGCACAAAACTGTCTACGCTGTGCAAAATCACTTTCCGTTAGCTCTTGAACAATCATTATCTTTTATAGGGATGAAATTGTAAATCGTGCAGAATGCGTTGTAAAGCTCGATGGGACATACGCAGAGCTGGAGCTTGTCGGCTAGTGGACCGTTAAGGGGGGGGGGGGGGACTTGATTTGGCTGCGTCAAAATGAAAAAGCAAAGCGTGGGATACAGAGTGGAATCTCGCCGAAAGACGGGCAGTACCAAGTCAACGTTTCAATTAGTGGCCAATCAAAAAGAATTTGGGAAGAATTGGTCGACTATACATTTATGCTGCAATCAACTCGATAGAACAGTGGTGACCTTAAAGCATGTTCGTAGCTGGTAGATGCCGAAATACATCCTACATTCTAAATTACACATACTAAATGAATCAAGAAAGAACGTGTGGATGGACTCTTATAATTACATGTCATACAAATTGATCTAGTTATTGCGAGTGCCCTATGCGAAATCGAAGAATAAGTTAATCTACTTTACTGTATTTTTTCAGATTCCTATGGAGGTAGAATGTTGAACTCAAACCATCATTTTACAGTTGATTGTTCCAATGCTCACAGAGGTCTTTTTGCAGGAATAATGGTAAGGATAGAATTCAAGATATTCGAAAAATATTTGACAATTCTTTTAATTTCAATGTAACGGGTGCAAAAGTATCTTGAACCTATACATGTTTAGTTTTGACTTAATACCTCTGAGATAGTGAAATAGTCACAAGATACAATCTAGGCGGGGTGGTTATCTGAAATTTGGTTAACTTGGTGTTAGCATGAATTTTCACAATATTAAAAAATATATATCCTATATCTGAAACTACTAAGCGATATTTTATAGTCTATTTAGTTCGGTCACCAATTTTGATAAATATCATAATATTCTTTATTTCAATAAATTGACATTTTTTACTCCAAATATCAGGCCCTAGCCATGTAAGATCTCCCAAATTTAGTATTCACGTCACTGTAATCTTATTGTATTAAATAATAATTTGATGAAACTCTATTTAAATTTGTTTACTATTACATTGCTTACATTGTCATTACGATTTAATGTATAAAATAATTTTGTTTGATCCCATTATTTCAAGTCAAAAAGTGTAAGCGATAAAAAATATCAGGCCCTAGTCATTTACGAAATTCAAAAATACGCGGAATCCAAACATATGACTTATTCATAACTCACTCAATACGGTAGCATCGGTGTGTAGTTGGTTGCAAACACGAGCCAAGCCGCGGCAGCAATTTTGCTATTAGTGTGGTAACCGACTTTGCTGCGGAAACACGTGCTATGCCAGTCAAACTCTCAGGCCCTAGGTAAGTCGTTTTAAACATTATATAATTACTCATTGATCTCATTACTTATTGAATGTATGAGCTAGGTCTGCTTTGTTATTTTGACCGCCTATTGATTTTATAGTGATTTAAAATAATAGCTTTCATTTGATTTTGCTTTGTTTCGTCAGTCCCTAGACCGTCAGGCCCTAGTCGTAATAGTGACTAGGGCCTGATGCCACATCTAGGGACTGATGATCATACTGTGTGATGCATAGTTTTAACCATAATACCAATGTATTTGTTGTAGAATATGGCGCCTATAAAGAAAAAAACATTGTCTAAAGAGGAAATTGCAAAAAAAGTCTGAACAGGCAAAGAGGCGATTGGAAAAAATTAAAAATTATCCTGTTTTGCTGGCGGAGTACAATAAACAACTAAAATATCTAAAGAAAAAGGAAAAAGGACAACGGAAGTGTGTAAAAGACATGACTCCCCGTGAGCACAGAAAGGCAAGAAAAAATTGGGTAGCCTATTCATCTGATTATAGAAAAAACAAAAGATTCGTGACAATACAGATAAATACGTGGACCAAAATACGCCGCCATCATCGGAAGATGAAATTATTCCTGAGGCTCCTTTATTAAATAATGAAAGAGAAGCTGAAGCTAGAAGGACGAGTATAGTTCAACGGAGAAAAAGAAATAGTATGTTGAAGAGGAAGGACTTACTCATTGAAAATTTAAAGAAGAAACTTGCCAGCGAACAACAAAGAAACAGAAGACTGAAACATAGAATGATACAAAAGAAGCAAACACTGACACCAGAAAGTAAAATTGTAGAAATGGCCAACGACCCTAATCAAAAAGCAGAATTGATAGAAAAGCGTTATTTGGCGATATTATTTAAAGGCAAATTTTAGATAAAGAGATTCAGACACCCAAAACGAAAACCTGCTTAAAAACGATTTTGTGAAGTCCACTGATATATAAATGTAAAATATGGAGACTTGGAAACACAGCCATTACATATAAAAAGATGGGATTTAATCGTACAAAATATGAAGCTATGCGAAAAAAAAGAGAGTTGAAGAAATCATACACAAGTTTTATGAAGATGAGAATAATAGTCGTTGTGCGGCAGGAAAACAAGAGTGCATCACTCGCAAAAAAATTAAAAAACAAAAAAGATATTTGCTGGATTCCTTGAAGAACTTGCATCAAAAATTTCACAATACGAGTTTGCGTCCATTTTGGGTTGTTGTGCCTAAGCTTACAGACCGTGATACCTGTGCTTGTGTTATTCATGAAAACATCAATTTGAAGTTAGGTGCCTTAAAAAATGCAAACGTTCTTGACTTTGCCACATATCAAACTGCACTGGAAACAATTTGCTGTGATCGTTACTCGGAAAAATGCTTAGCGAGAACTTGCCAGGACTGCTCATTGAAGATTTTACCATATAAGGAGTTTGATAATAGTAAGGACATGGCAGTCAAACAATGGAAGCATAGCAAGGAATTGATTAAGGACATTAAAACTAAACAGGATAGATACGTCACAAAGTATAAGAAAGAGATATGCAATTCAAAACCTCGTGATTTAGTTATGCAATTAGAAGAGAGTGATCTTCCAAAATTATTCCAACATGAACAGAACATCGTTCATCAATATAAAGCTATTAAATCTTTGAAAGAGTATTTATGATCTCATAATAATTAATGAAAGTCTGAATGTTGTGTTCAAATTATAATTTGGTAACTCAAAGCTTTAGAAAGCTGATTATTTAAAATAATTGTTAATTTTTAAAGGACTATTAGTTTGTAAGTATTAAACTCAAAGTATAATTTGATTGTTGAGAAATATTGATAAATTATTTTCAAGTGTATAATTAAAAAAATAAATCCTGTACTGTGATTATAAATCATAGAATTTGTGAACTTAAGAGATTATTTTGTTGTTACGGTTGATTTTGCAATAAAAAATGTGATTTGACATAATAACCGTGTTTGGTGTCAGTCCCTATCACTTGTCGTCAGTCCCTAGAACACTGATTTTAAAAAATCATAAATTTCTCTGAAAATATCAAGTAAAGTGACTGGCCCTTTTAGATGCAGCAAAGTAGATGTTATACCTACAGCATAGAATATAAGCTGTTCTGATTTTTAACTAAAAACACCACCTTCAAAATTACATCAGAAGTTAACCAAATTTCAGATAATCACCCGGCGTCTTTTTTACAATGCTTCTGTCAACATTTTTTTGTTCCTTTGCCTTAGTAATAGGTAACCGAAGTTGGAATTAAGAAGGTTCGAAATGTTTATAGGCTATGAGCTAAGAATTTCCATCTCACTTCATTGGGGCAAAATAAAATAATTAGGGGGTTGGGAATCCATAAAGTCATCCCCCTTTTTACACTTTCAGTCATTTGTGCAATTCCACATCGCTGATATCTTGCCTCTCGCATTTTCGATTTGCCATATCCATACACATCCACGCACATTTTTCAAAATGGATCAAATACTTAAAACTTATCGTTTTCAGGTGATTGTACTCACGATTATCTCTCTAATAATGTTTTTTGTATTCACAACTGCATCCGACAAAGATAACGAGAAAAACAGAATCAGAATCGCTATGTTCGAAGTGAGTACTGTAGAGCTACTTCTGTACCTCATCACCACAGTGGCAGTAGGAGTTGCGATGCTAAAGATGAGGAAATTGAAGTATGACAGAAAGATTGGTGTGTATAACTACTGTGTATTCAAATCTCATTTACACCCAGTTGAAATAAACAGCAAGCCACGTTCAAATCAGGCTATAAATGCCTTGGCAGACAGCGACAAGCAATGTATGCGCCGACTGAATGCTCATGTTTGTATTGAAGCGGCGAGAATGGGATTTGATTACTTTGCTTCTAAAAAAACGAATTCATTTTCCATTGATTAGGTGATTGAAATCTTTTTCAACCTCAATTCCTGAATTTTGTTGATATTACTTCTTGAACTATGAACAAACTTTTTTGTCCAGAGTTCTTGTTACTTCAGCTGGGTTCAGTGACAATGAACCAATGAGGAAAAGTGCAGTACTTTGGCGTCCAATAAATCAGTTTTTAAAGATCAGATCCACTAGATAAAATTGTATCTTTATGGTTCAGCGTGGCAAAGTAAAAAAAATTCAAAGTGGAGGCGGATGCTAACTCTGCTATGCCCATTCTCCAAAGGCAGCAAAAAGGAATGAACGGCTGTTAGAAGAATATAATCAAGTTGTACTATTTCTAGTTGGGGCTGGATAGCGGATAGTCGGTCGACCCGACAGCTCGTGGGTTAGAATCTCTGCCTTTGAAATTAATTTCGAGCCACTGTGTTGTGTTGTATGTTGTCTATACCACGCACTAGTTTGATGCAAGATTAGTATAGTTTGATTGCATTGATGGAACCGTGTATTCAATAATCAATTATCAGTAGATAGCTTGTGGAGTAGAACTGTACTACTGGGTTGGTGAAGGGGTCAAAGGGGGGCTAGTTGCCAGGCCTCCCTACTACTACTACTATTGCTACAAGTAGTATACTATTTATAGCAGTAATTGTACATGTTTGTATAATCTTTAGTCAATATAGTTAATATATTTTAGGATCTGAAGGTAGTTCAGGCATCGGACTTGATAACACACTGCTTGTAGTCGCACAAACTGGTATGTTCATCTACTGTATGTTCTCAATTATTGGTAGCTACTTCACCATAGCTTCTAACAACGTGATTGAGCTCGTAGCAGAAATATTTTCTTTCATCCAGACGTGCCTTCAGACTATGTTTGTATTAGATGGATGGTGGAGAAAATGCAGGTAATAGTGTATAAGAATTTCATGTTATTTGAATCAGGCTTATTTTAACTTGAATATATTTAAGTAGATAAAAGGCAAGCGATGCTGGAATGCATTCTTACCCTTCCGATTTCAGAAAATTCAGAAAAAATAATTTCTTCAACCTGTTTTTTGTCAACATAATGACAACAATGTCAACATTTTATCTTTGTTTTTGTTTACCTTTGTTAAAATGTTATCTCTTAGTTTTTGTGAAGAAAGCAGCTTCTGAGAGCTGAGTAATACATATACTTCTAGTTATTGCCCTTTCATTTACTGGTGTTAAGCAAAACAAAATGCCTCGATCTAGAAGACGTTCAAATTATCACCATGCTAGCGACTTTGACAGGGGTAGAATTATTGCCCATCGAGATGTTCGTTTGTCCTGAGGTGAAACTGGCCGCCGTGTTAATTTTACTGCAACAACGGTAATGCGTGTGTGTCGTGTGTGGATAGAAGAAGGTAGAGGAACACTAAGGAGACTGTTACTATGCGTACACTATATCGCCGCATTTGAGTCCTAGGACTTTTTTCATACCGTCCACGGTCAGTGCTTTCTCTGACTGTGGACCACTGTCGTCAATGCTTGGACTGGAGCAGAGAACGGGAACATTGGGAGGCAGCATGACATAATGTCATCTTCACCCACACATCGCGATACTGTCTAGGTACGCACGATGGGCGCAGAATTGGTTAGATGCCGCCGTGGATAACGGCGTGATATTGGATTTGCTGTTGAAAGGCATGTACACAGCACTGTTAGAGTAATGGTTTGGGGGGCTATTATCTATGATAGAGATAGAGAAGTGGTGATGCTCTTTGTTCAAGGCAATATGACTGCTGAGCGTTATGTTGATGATGTCAAACAATCAACTTTACTGCCGTATCCAGATGGTTGTCCACACGTCCTTTTTCAGCAAGACAACGCTCGTCCCCATATTGCTCGTTGTACTACAGACTTTCTTCAAGAAGCAGGCTTTACTGTTTTGCCGTTTTCGCCAGATTTAAATCCCATCGAATATGTGATGGTGAAGAGACTATTCACTTTGCACCATCCGCCACAGACTCTGCCACAGCTAATTCACGAAGTTCGAGTTGTTTGGAATAAGGTATCACGACCAGAAATCGATCATCTCATTTTGTTGATGCCTAGACGTATACAGGAGTCCAACACATTATTAACTTTTTTTTATTACTTGTCAACAAAATTTCGTGAGCAAAGCTATCGTTTCATTCTTGATGTAAGACTACCTCATTGCCAAAAAATCAAGTTGACGAAAATATTTTTTTCTGACTTCTAATGTCACTGAGTATATATTCTATCCCAAAATATTTGTGTACGTATGAGCGGATCTCAATTTAGTCACACACCATTCTAACATAGGCGTGCGATACATTATACTACCTACTTATAGTTTGCTACTTAACCGTACACCTCAATAAGATCTTTTGTTTCAGCGTTGACAAATTCTTGTTGGCAACTTTATAGTTCAAATCTTCTCTACTAAGAAATTAAGTATTGATCTAGACATTTATTCTTTTAGAAACATTGAGCAGACCCGAACTAAGCCCGGAAGAGAAATCATAACTTTCCTTATAGTGGCGAATATGGCTATGTGGATTATCAATACTCTGGAGAAGAATAGAGCCGAGTTTAGACCAACCCATCTACACTTTTTCGGAGATTGGGCCTGGACCATCATTACGCACATTTCTATGCCAATGGCGATCTTTTATAGATTTCATTCTACCATATGTCTGTTTGAGATATGGAAAAGTGCATACAAGGTCAAAACACCAATAAAGAATCCTCTGTTTCCTATTGTTTAATGACTTTGTAAACATCTATTATCTAATCAATAAAATAGATATAATGAATTTTTGTTTAAGTTCTCGTCATTTTTTCCGAAACATATCTCACATCCGAAGAAGTATATTAACAAAATTCTGTTTTTATGTTGATCTCAGAATAATATATCGATGGTCTAATTCTAATACCCCGTATCTGCAAAAAAAAACAAATTTTTCTTTTTCGCGCCATAATTTTACTTTTCACGCCATTCAATTGTACGTTTACTCTACCGAGTTAATAACAGTTTTCTTTAGTGTTAAATGTTACCTATTATAATATCCCGTCCCATTCCATTTTTAAGTTATTTTTGTTCTATTAAACGGTATCTTACTTAATTCAATAAAAATAAATTTAGGAAATAAAAGACATTTTATCATTTAGTTATGAAAATGTAATATAAATAAAAATTGTCTAACCTTTTGAATCATATTTAGCACCTTACAAAATAAAAAATCCTCTCCTGTACAATAACGCTCGATACAGTTACGGGGTATCAGAACTAGACCATCGATATTTGCATAGCACAGAATGTTGTAACCGAATACTTGCCTCATTTGAGTGTCGTTTGTTACTGTTTACTGATACCGTGCAACATTTGCAGGCTAAAACCATAATCATGGATAAAGCAAGAGCTCTGAAATGAATTTCGTATTCTTTCTGCATTTCTAGTCCGCTATAATATATGATACTTAGTATTTTTAGAAACTTTTATTTAACTTGACCTGCACGTACAGGGTGCCCCGCTAGAAATTTACCTCCCTCTAGCTTTTTTATGTGACCATTTCATTTTCATCTAAACAGAGTTCCCCAAACTTTTTGTGTCGTAGACCCCTTGCCATATTTTTCCGTGTTGGGTAGACCCCCTACTTACCTGATATTGATTTCCTGTAAATTGCTAACTGTAGTGAAGTTTAGTGTTAAAAACTTAAAGTAAAAACACATGTTAATTTATACATTTATTAATTGAATTTAAATTAAAACTACTCAAAATAAAATTTTGTATCTGTTATGTAAAATATACGTAACATTAAATAAACAGGTGACTGACCAATAGGTGCCCGCATTGAAATAAAATAAGAGGGATAAAATAAAAAAAAGTGAAAAATAATAAAAAAAGTTTTTTACTTAAAACAGTACAATAAACGAGTTCGTTTATTAATTATAACATAAACGTATGTTCTACAATAATTTCACTGTTAGTTTGATTAAATTCCGCTTCTTATACGTTTAAGTTATCTAAAAATAGGCAAAAAATTAACGAATTTTAGTGTGTACCTATCCTTGAATTTTCAGAATAATTAAAAAAAAATATTTTCTATAAAAAAATTCATTAAAAAAATCAATGCGGGCACTTATTCCCAATGCGGGCATTTATTGGTCAGACACCAATAAACATAAAATAAACTATAAATAAAATAACATATGCAATAAGTCAATATTTTTAGTGAGAAGGATGAACCTGATGCTTTAATAATAAATGATCAACATTTGGCGTCAATTTTGTAAGGGTTAATCTCAAATCTCCTCGGCTAATGATGTCCAGTCTGTTTCTTTTTTTCGTTAGGAGATTGGTAACAGCGCTGAACCCCCTTTCCACTAGGTATGACGATGGAGAGGAAATTAAAAATTTCTTCGCTATATTCCATAATACGGGATAAGTAACGGGTATGTTGTTTTGCAGCCAGAATTGCTGATATCCATTTTTAAACTGAACCTTAAGTTCTTCGTTTGTATTTAGTTCAGTCAGTTCCTCTTGAATTATGACATTCGTTTCTTCTATGTCACCATATGGATTAATTATCCACGGTGGTATTACCATAGTCAAAATATCCTCAAACCTAGATTCAAAATCTGAATAGAGGGCATTTAAATGTTGAACGTAAGTCGAAACGTCGTTTTCCTGGCAGCTTGTCTGTGACAAATTGGGTAACTGAGAAAATTCGCCCCGTCCAATATTTTGCTTCATTAGTTTAACTCTGGCAAGAAACGCTAATAAGATGGACTTTGTTTTTATCAAATTTAAACTGTCGCCTTGTAATTGCAAATTAACCATATTAAATTTTGTAAACAAATCTGTTAAATAGGCGATGTCTGTTTTCCACTTCATTAAATTTTCTTTTAAAATTTTATCTTTAGCATCCAGAAATTCTAAAATAGTCTCAAAAAGTGCAAACAATCTTGTCAAACATAAGCCTATCGACAGCCAGCGTACTTCAGTGTGAAGGAGTAATTGATGAAAGTGTTCGTCATTTTCTTCACACAACTGCGCAAATAACCGCGTATTCAACGCGTTGCTTCGGATTCGGTTTACTGCATCAATGACTAAATGAAGTGATTCATGCAATCTAGCACTCAATTTTTTAGCAACTAAACGTTGTCGATGGATGACGCAATGTATTGCTAACACCCCTGACACATTTTGTTTTAAATAGCTTATAAATCCACGATATCGTCCAACCATGGCAGGTGCTCCATCTGTAGCTACTGATATTACATTTGATAAAGGAATTGCTTTTTCAAAACATGAAATATTGATCCACCTTTAGTGTCGGTTAACAAAGTTCTTACGAAGAGCAGTTCTTCGTAGATTTCTTGATTCATAATAAAACGAACATATGCCAATAATAATGTTGCATTATCAGGTAAGGTTGACTGGTCCAGTTGTATAGAGAAATGGGTCGTTTGCAAATAATTACATAAGAAGCTTTCAATATCGGAACTCATTTCATCAATACGTCTTTCAACAGTATTGTTGCTTAAGGGAATTCTTTTAATGATATCAGATGCAGGTTTGTGTAAAACAGTTTTTAAAACCTCTTCAACGGCTGGCAAAATTAACTTCTCTCCGATAGTATGCGGTTTTCCGGATTTTGCTATAAGTAACGAGATATTGTAAGACGCCTGCAAACCATCAACATTTCTTTGTGACGTCGAAGGGAACATTCTGTCCAGTGTAGGTCTCTTCTGAAATTTATCTTTGAGTGTTTGAAAGTATTTCAAATCTTTCTCTGTTTTATCAGGGTGGCATTTTCTCAGATGATCTTGCAGTTTAGATGGTTTCATAGCGTCATTGCCCAAGACTTTGTTGCATAAAAGGCACATAGGCGATTGTTTGTCCGGCGATGATGGAATGAAGCCAAATTTCAAATAATCAACACTCACTGTCTACATTTCTATTTAGATTCGGACATGGCATCAGTCATCTGTGGGCAAAATTAAATTATTTGAATAAGACAGAAAATCCAGCAGCTGTATATTAAAAATATTTTTTGATTTTTCCGAAAACATTCCATAATTCGAACATCTTCTTGCAACAATTAGCTCGAATTACGGAGATTGCACTGTAATTATATTACCGATTGCTAAAACTTTCAAAAAGAAACTATTGAGGAGTACTCGTGTAATTTTGCATGATTGAATATTTAACTACTAATAACTAAAGTCATGATTGGCGTAATTTATCTATCTTTGCTAACTACGAGTACAAAACTAAAATTTAATGAAAAATAATGTACTTACTTTTCTCCAGCACTCTTAAACAAAATAACACTGACTCACTATAATTTGTGCGATATACTATCTGTTTATATTTTTTAAACTATTTTCTTAGCACTTTCCTTTTCAAGATTCAGGAAACGAATAAACGTATTTGTCCCACATTCGTATTTATAGAGTGACGAATTGAACAAGTCAGTGCAAGGTAGCGAAGCTCTGAGACTGCGACTCTCAGGTTTTTACAAGTTCAAAATGTATTGCGACCACAAAGCGAATACCAACATCCTACAACTTACACAATTTTATAAACATATATAATAAATTTTTTACTTCATAGGTACTTTTATAAATAATGTATATGATTTGATATTATAAGATAGTATGATGTAAGAAAATAGGTACTATCAGTGTATGTGTTGAGATCCACTATCGTGGACCCTCATATTCATTTCATGGACCCCCAAAATTTTGTTCGCTGACGTAGACCCCTTGCAGGTTGTTATAGACCCCTAGGGATCGATATAGACCACTTTGGGAATCAATGATCTAGACAGTTAGGCAGTAAAGATGTCGTCAGAGAAGTTAACTTCGAACTTCCGACGTAGTGGCATAAGCTCAATTTTAAATTTTCTAAGACAATAATGCCCTTTTCTATGATAGTAAATACCTTCTGAATGTTATTAAAACTCCTGAAGTCGAATATTCCTTTCTATTTGGAAAGAGCTCTTCACGGAACATTCGCGGCTATTTGCGAGGGCATCAACATCTCCATTCCTTTTCGTGATACCTGTCAGCTGAAAGGATCCTAAAATCTCGCGTATATGCTAATTGCATTCGTATGTTTGTATATGATATTCTAGAAACTATATTGATAAAGGTGGGTACCTAGCTTGCATTAAAGGATAATTAGATTAAGTACACTATCTGAATCCTCTTCCACCTAAGGTTGCGTGTAAATGAAATCTAGCGTACCACAGCTGTGCTATTCAGTTAAGGAAACCAACTGATTCGATTAAGAAATATAAAGGAGATCACTGGCAGGTAGGTATATATAGGGGTTAATTCATTTGAACTAAATTCGCTACAAACACAGACCGCTCAACCAATTTAGCAGCTGTGTTACGTATAAGTTCATGCGGAAAGGCATACAGAGCTTAGCGAGTTGCGTTGGTGCTGCAAATTATACACCAGCATCATCATGAATAAATCAATTAACTGATAAATATAAACATAAGCAGTATCTCTGGGGAGATATAGGTCCGATTAGGATATAATGTTGTGTTAGTGAAATTATCTCCTGCAAATTGCAATACGTCTCTCGCAGTTCTCAACAAAGCGTTCATATATAAATTGTTCCTGGAGACAAAAAGTGTATCTTGAGCTACTGAAAGAACAATTCTGTGTTTTAGTGATTATCAAAAAAAAGCTTCCTGTTGAGGGTTCTCTAAAACAGTACTTTTGTCAGCAAAAATTGCATATGAAGCTTCTTTTAGATACAAAAACTGTTCCAAA